CTTTCGGGGATAGTTTTCAGTGAGCAATGAACTAGCGTCCTTGTCCAATTTGGCGGCTTTGGATATTGTTCTATTAAATATGGACTTCTGGCCGAGAGGTATTGAGAAGGTGAAAAAGTTCAATATAGTTGTTGGCGATTACTTTGGTGGCATCCCTGACCCTCGTTATTCGTTATCAAATAAGTTGGATCTCCAAGGTCAAAACTTGAGTGACATTGAAACGAGGTTTGATTTGCTGTTGAAGAGAACTGAAATTCTTATTTTAACCGCAACTGCAGTAAGTTTGAAAATTCTCTGTGATTTGGTCGACGAAGATGGTTTTGAATGCTTAATGAAATTGACACTAGACTACTTGACTGAATTGGAATACCTCATCAATACAACAGATGGGGTTCCCCAGAGTGCTTTTCCTGTGAGTGTCTGTATCTTCGTAATCTATATAATTTCAAAGGGATTACTAGCCATGAATGTCATGAATACCGACTACCGAACACGGCTTTCCGTGCATTGAAAGAGTTGGTACTATATTTCTTGCCTGAATTGACAAATATGTGGAAGGGTCCCACCCAACTTGTATGGCTCGGCAACCTGACGTCTGTAGATGTGTTCTGGTGTCATAAACTACAAACTACGTTCTCACTTTCCATAGCTAGAGATCTAAGGAAACTGCAGGACGTTCGGATAACTCACTGTGGCATGATGAAAGCAATTGTTTCAAGTGAAAAATGATTTATATTTACGAAAATTATAAAAATTATATAATTAATTATTATAAATTATTATTATATATAAAAATTATATTATTTCAATGCTTGAGTGTTGTGGGTGTGGCCATTGGTGTGTGTGTCATTGTGTGGGTTGGCTTTGGTTGGTAGTAGAAACGTAAAAAATAGAGTGAATAAAAAAAAAAAAAAAAAAAAATTTGACTTCTTTATGAGTTAAATTTTTTTAACTTTCTAGTATTTTTTTAACTTTTCCACTGAAATCAACACTTCCAAGCGTGGCTTTCTATTAGGGGGTTCAATTGATACATTTTTGTAATTAAGGAGTTTATTTGTACATTTTCATAGTTTACATATAGCATTATTGTATATATAGATATTTTCCCTTATCTTATAAATAATTTATTTATTTATTTAATTTTATTTTTTTAACAACTCTTATCCTACTAAAAAAAAAAACTCTTTATCATCTTGATGCCCTCTTTTAATACATTTTAATAAATTTTCGTATTTTATTGTATTCAATAATTTTTTAAAGATTTTTGTATAAATTTTATACTTTCTAATATATCAAGATTAAATGGATCTAAAAAGTTTTAAAAAATTGATTAAAATATTTTTAAAAATTACTAAAAATATAAAAATACAAATTTAAAACTCAAAAAATTATTTTTAAAAATTCCAAATAGTAACTAGTTCATCTCCCCTTATTGTACTTTGCGCCTCTTAAATATTTTTAAAAATTCCAAAAATAAAAAATTACATTTTATCTTTGGTGACTAAAAATTTAGTCGCTAAAAATCTATTTTCAGCGACTAAACAAATTTGTCGCCAAATAATTAGTTTTGACTAAAATTATTTAGTCACCGATTAAAAAATAAAAAATTAATTTTTATCTTTTTAGTTGCAAAAATCTATTTTTAGTGACTAAATAAAATTTTAGTCGCCAAATAGTTAGTTTTGACTATTAAAATTATTTAGTCGCCGATGAAAAATAAAAAATTAATTTTTATCTTTGGCCATTAAAAATTTAGTCGCCAAAAATCTATGTTCAGCGACTAAAATTTAGTTGGCAAATGTGTTCAAAATTTTAGTGGGAAATTTAGGCTGTGTTTGGAAGGGTTTTCAAACTATAATTCTACCCACACATTCTAATACCATGTTTGGATAAGGTTTTCAAATTATATTTCCACAACAAACAGAAAATTCTGCAGAAAACTGTGTTAGGCGGGATTTTCAATTTTTTTTTTAAATTTGGCTTAACCGGTCGTCCGGTCAACCGGAACATGGCAAATTTATTTATTTATTTATTTATTTATTGCAATTGGCACTTTTTTTTTATTATTATTTTTTATATGTTTAATAAAACAATGTTTTTGGATTTTTTTAAAAAAATTTATAAGCTTTTAATAGATTTTTGAGTTATGTGTTTGGTTATGAGTTGTAAGTTTTTGTATTAGATATCATATGCCACACCAAAAATTTCAACTCAATTTAATACTATTTTCAAAACTCATTCACCAAATAAATTTTTAACACTTAAATCATAATTTCAAAACTCACAAACTTAAAATACAACTCTATTCTCAAATCATATTTAAAAAACTCTACCAAATCATATTCTCAAATCACACGGTTCTCTCTCTCTCTCTCTCTCTCTCTCTCTCTCACACACACACACACACACAGAGAATCAGTCACCCCGCCCCTCATCTCAGCATCGCACACGACCAGAGTGTCCGTCAATCTTCCACCGTCGAAGATAGCCACCGCAGCTCACCATTGCCTCGCCTTCCATCGACATTCAGGTTATTCTGTCCTTTTCCGATTGAAGTTTTTGACTGATTTCGATACATGTAGATTTAGTTATGTATATATATATATCGTAATCTTCGTTCAATTTTCTGTAGATTTCTTCGACATTGTGCTTGCTTTCTTTACCGATTAAAGTTTTGACTGATTTCGATTCATATAGTTATGTATCTATCGTATTTAAGTTTTGATTTTGACCGATCCATCCACAAAATTGTATTGTCCATCCAACCCGTCAATATATCTGAACATCACGAAGGTACTCTCTCTCTCTCTCTCTCCCCTAGATAATTCCTCCTTAGAGTTGCAGATCTTGATTCGCCATTGAAGAACTCTCTCTCGGATGCCCCTCTCTCTTTGTTTCTTCTCTTCCTTCTTTTCTTCTTATTTTACGATCTTAATCTGCTCCTAGGGTTTGGATTAAGGCCATAGAGTTTGGATCGATGGATTCGTTATACATCCCCTGCGTTGAGCATGCGAAGCAATGGCTTTCCAATTCCAATCATCCAATCATCCAATCGATTCCGATCCGAATGTTACTTGTATGCATACTTCATCACAAGTTTTTGATTTTGTGGATTTTATTTATTTATTTATTTCAGTGTGTTTTGGTGAATTTGATTCGTAGATGTGGAAATTATGCCTCTTTTCAGATGCTCGTGCACGGCTCCATGGTGCCGGTCCAAGTGGAAGGTTCGGATGAGCAATACCAGCAGGTAGAAATTGATTTCCTCCGAAAGAATTTGATTTTTTCCCTCTTCTATTTGATAATATCATGATCAGACATGCTCCATTAAATCACATATGAATTACATATCTGATAATGATATTATGGTCTTTGCTAAGTTTGCATCGGTTTGTTTTGGTGATTTTTATTTATCTACAACTCCCACTATAGTGATAAACAAAGTTATACAGTAAGTCTATGGTTTTGAGGCCTTTAAGAGTTGAGATCAATATAATGTATCAAGTGTTGTTGGTTGTCTACTATTAACAGAAGAAAACTATGTTGTCTTGAAGTCAGAGAATTTAGTGCAAGCAGAAATATTCAGTTAACCTGGTTTTCATTTTTTAATATTACTTGCTGCTGTACCAAGGTTATTCTGTTTTGCTAAAGAATAATGTGATTATGGGACTTTGAATTATTGCACCATGTTATAATCTTTTAATCCAGTTCTTCACAAAAAAGATAAAAACCAATTCAAATTCAATCCTTTGCCTGCCAAAAGTCGATCACAACTTTGTTTTGAGAAATTACACTGGTTGCACTCTATTTCTGCAATGTCCTTGTGCTCCTCTTGAGTTGTTTTGATGAACTCATTAATTTAAAATGAAATTGTTGGTAAATTGGGGAGTTGTGTGAAACTATTAAATTAAGGATTGCAATGTGGATCAAAGTATCTTGCCCCTCCTTGGAATTTTCAATTAATGATATTATTTTCAACTTGCAAAAAGTCAAAGTTTGCATTAGGGGGATTGGTTAGCAGGCCTGGGGTAAAGTATTTAGGCTGGTGATTTTGCTTTAGATTTGTGCTGACATTACTTGTTTTTGCTATACAACCTTTTATACCATTTCCTAATTCCATGTTTCCATACCCATTTAGGCTTTAGTTATTTTAAACTTTGTGTCAATCACTTCTACATCTATATAGTCTCATATTAAATAATCTGAATTTTTTTGTACGGTTGGATTGTTTGTCTTAATTTTTGTTGAATTTGGATTGAAGGTTTACTTTAAGGATTAAACTAGGATTAGTAAGGGACCTATTTATACATCTTGTGAGATTATTTTAAAGGGAAAAAACTCTACTTTAACTTGTTGGATTCATAAAAGTGAAGTTATTCATTATCTTCATTATGAATATGCCAAGGCTCCTCTATTTGCTGTTGGAACTAGTATTGGTGCTAACATTCTGGTATGTTGTGATTGCTGGATCTATTTCATACCTCATAAATTTAAGTTTGACTTCAAATGTTTCAAATTATTCTCTTAAATTGTTTCATTAGTTTTTCTTTTCTGTATTCTACAGGAATACCGGGTAAAGATCACAATTATTATTCAATGCATGTTATGAGAAAGTTGTGTATCATGCGTGTTACTTGTCGAGATGATTCAAATTATGTCTTTTCTTTTTTATATTAAAATATTCACACACACACACGCGCACACACATATATATGTATCTGTTTTATGCTTTGTTTCCATGCTTGGCATTTAGCCATGATGTTAATAAGTTTGGGATTTATGCCCATGAAGCATTGAAATCTTTTTGACTGCTTTATGTTGTACTTGTTTTGAAGTCATTATTGAGTAGATTCCTGCAAAGTGGAAGGTTGGTCCAAGACAAGAGACCCTCCTCTTCTGTGGCAGCAAGTGAATTGGGTTTTTAAAGGCAAAGACACACACAGTGGTTTAAGGTATTTGGTTTTAATGCTATATCTACAATAAGAGTGGCTTCTTTCTTTTTATTTCTCAGAAATATGTTTCCTGCACTAACTACCATGCAAGGTTGCTTTTACTACCTGCCTTATTTGGGTGTGTATGTGTCTCTGTGTGGTGGTCTGTTTCCCTATAGCTAATGCTTGTTATTTTGGTTGTTGTGGAAGAGAAAATCATGTTAAAGTAGACCCAAACAATTTCACCAAGTTTTCTAGCAATTTTTTAGGTTACAAATTTGATTCTAGTGAATTACATGCTTCATGAATTCATTGTTCAGAATTGTGGTGTCGACATATTGTAACATAGTATCTCTGTGAGAGTAGCCATTTTGTACAAATAATGCCAAAGGTTGGGTTTGTACTCAATCTACCTCTCTACCCACATCCAATGGGGACTAAACTAGGCATACTCTTTTTTATTTTTATTTTTGTAGTATTAAATGGTAGTTTCTCACCTTTGTCCTCTACGTGGTTTTACGACTCCCAACTCTGTTGCAGGGTTCAAATGGTAATTGTCCTATTTGGTAAGAATAATTTTATTTATATGATACTAAAAGTTCTACAAAAATACTTCACATATTGACATTATTGTTTTGGAGAACTTGGAATTGTTTTGACATTATACAAATAAGAGGAGAAAAGAAATAACACATTAATTCATTAACTAATTAATTAATTATGTAAAAAAAGACGGAATGGCTGTCACAGACAGCTTCCCCATGACAAATACGACCTGTGACAATAGACGGAATGTAATTCGGACCCGTAGATTAGGAGTCGAAAATGCCTTGAACTTAATCGAAAAATGGCGTTCCGGAGGCGAAAATTCAAAACAGCCCCTGAACCATCGTGTGGCTGTCACGGACAGCTTCCCCATGACAAATACGATCTGTGACAAAAGACGAAATGTAAATAGCACGTGTAGGTTGGGAGTTAGAGCCGAAAATGCCTTAAACTTAGTCAAAAAATGGAGTTCCGGGGGCAAAAATTCAAAGCAGCCCCGAACCACCATGTGGCTGTCATGGACAGCTTCCCCATAACAAATACGGCCTGTGACAACAGACAAAATGTAAATAGCACGCGTAGGTTGGGAGTTAGAGCCCAAAACGACTTAAACTTAGTCGAAAATGGTGTTCCGGAGGCGAAAATTCAAAACAGCCCCCCTGAACCACTGTGTGGCTGTCACAGACAGCTTCCCCATGACAAATCCGACCTGTGACAAAAGACGGAATGTAAATAGCACATGTAGGTTGGGAGTTAGAGCCGAAAACGCCTTAAACTTAGTCGAAAAATAGTGTTCCAGGGGCGAAAATTCAAAACAGCCCCCAAACTACCATGTGGCTGTCACAAACAACTTCCCCATGACAAATACGACATATGACAACAAACGAAATGTAAATAGCACGCATAGGTTAGGAGTTAGAGCCAAAAACGCCTTAAACTTAGTCAAAAAATAGCGTTCCGGGTGCAAAAATTCAAAACAGCCCCGGAACCACCGTGTGGCTGTCACAGACAGCTTCCCTATGACAAATACGACTTGTGACAACAGACAGGATGTAAATAGCACGCTTAGGTTAGGAGTTAAAGCTGAAAACGCTTTAAACTTAGTCAAACAAATGGCATTCCGGGGGCGAAAATTCAAAACAGCCCCCGAACCACCGTGTGGCTGTCACAGACAGCTTCCCCTTGACAAATACGACCTGTGACAATAGACGGAATGTAAATAGCACGCTTAGGTTAGGAGTTAGAGCCAAAAACGCTTTAAACTTAGTCGAAAAATGGTGTTCTGCGGCCAAAAATTCAAAACAGTCCCCGAACCACCGTGTGGCTGTTAGGGACAGCTTCTCTATGACAAATATGACTTGTGACAGTAGACGGAATGTAATTCGGACCCGTAGATTAGGAGTTAGAGTCGAAAACGCCTTAAACTTAGTCGAAAAATGGCGTTCCGGGGACGAAAATCTAAAACAGCCCCCGAGCTATCATGTGGTTGTCACGAACAGGTGACAAATATGAAATTTCAGCTATAATAAAGCAAATACAAAAAGTAGAGATGGTGTATATCTCCTTAATAGAACAATTGGATAATAAAAAAATTGGAAAAAGAAAATCTTGGGAACATTACTTCTCTTTTTTTTTTCATGGGCACATTAGGACTTAAAAACTTGTTTATTTTGAGGGGCAAATTACCTACACCCCCCTTGAAGTTTAGCTAAATTACATATTCCCCTTTGAGGTTTCAAAAATTACATCCTGCCCCACCGCTAGGTTGGCACCAATGGGGCTCTCTGATAAAAAGACTACCAATGTGACTCCCTTGCTAACATGGGCTTCTCCCAAAATTTCACCTTGGACATCCATAGGACTCCTTCCAATGGATTTCTTATAACATTCTTGCTGAGATATTGGAAATTGCTTCCCCTAAAAGCATTGACTCCATATGAGCCTGATCACCATTGTTTCTGTTTTTGTTTAGTTTCTAATTACTTAAAAAATAAAATGATTTTGTAATTGATTCTATGAAAATAATAACTTTCAAGTTCTATATTATTTTTTTTAATTTTTTTTTATATAATTGTAAATGCGAATGTGATTCAATAAAATGTTAATGGATATTATTTTTTTGTTACAGATTGATGATGTTGGCATGGATACAGTGATGTTTTTGGGACAGATTGATGATGTTTGCATCAGCACAATTTACATTATATTTTTGTTTATGGAAAACATGTACACCTGATATGTTTTGTTATTAAGATTTTGTTTAATTTGGATTTTAATTGTTGGTTTGGATAGTATATATATTTGTTGGATTATACTATGTTTATGGATTCTTATTTTCTTTGATATGTACAATTAATAGTTAAGCTTTGTATATTGTTGGATATTGAATGCTACAGGTTGTGGAGAAATATTTTTATTAAATGGTTGAGAATCGAATGAATGAATGAATAATTTTGTATATGCGCAAGTTACAGGTGACGCAAAAAATATTACAGAACAATTTATAAAAACTAAATGAGATCTTTTAGTGATTAAACAAATATTATAGGTTGGCTTTTGGATACTAAAACTTTAAGTCGCCAATTGTAAAAAAATTGAAACTTTTGGCTATTAAACTTTTAGTCGCCACTTGTAAAAAAAAAATTTTGGCTACTAAATTTTTAGTCGTCAATTTTCAAAAAGTGAAATGTTTGGCTATCAAATAATTAGTCGCCAAGCATATATGCTCAATTGGCTACTAAATAATTTAGTCGCTAAAATTAAAAAATATATATATACATATATATATTTAATTATTGTTAAAAAATATATGGCGACTAAAGTTTTAATCACCAATAGGTCACTTTTGGTTACCAAATAGTTAGTTGTCAAACATACAAGCTCAATTGGCTATCAAATAATTTAGTCGCTAAAAGTAAAAAATGTGTATATTTAATTATTGTTAAAAAATATATGGCGACTAAAGTTTTAGTCGCCAATAGGTCATTTTTTGGCTACCAAAAAAATTTTAGTCGCCGATTGTCTTTCTTGACGAGCTATTGGCGACCAAACTGGTGATCAAATATATTAGTTGTCAAAAGTGAAATTTCTTGTAGTATAGTATGGTAGAGTTTTCATTTCAAAACATAATATTTTCGACTTTCAAACCAAATAAGTACATATTATATTTTGGATTTTGTAAAACAAAATAAAAATTAGATTTTGATTGGAGCACTCATAGTATCATCCACAGCAGTACCATTAAAAAGCATTTCCTACCATATCTCAAAGTAAGACTTGTAAAAAAAAAGAAAAGAAATGAAAAAAAACAAAGACTAACAGGAACAACGCTACAACCAAAAGATAATTTATATGAACACCATTAAAATTGCATTCTACCAAAAATCTAATGTATATGAGCACTATTTAAATTCCTAATGCATATCAAACCTGTAATTTTATCAATAAATACAAAAATTGTGTCTTTGTACAAGTATATTCAAGCTATTTCAATAATAAAAGTATACCATAAATGAGAAGAAACATAATGAACAGATAGTAATATTCATTCAAAAAATTATCGTATAAAATATGAATCATACTAAACATTTAATAAATAAATAATAATGCTCAGGCCACATCATAATGAGAAAAAAATTATTGGTTGTTTCTGCATTTCATTTCTAACCATTGTGCTATTGAGGGACACCTCTTCTACTATGATTCAAGATAAGTTTCTCTGGCTTCTTGTCTCTAATTTGCTGTACTATTTTCCTTTATGTCCAATCCAAGAGGGAAAAAAAAACATTTCCTTAGTGTAGCACATATACACACACAAAATCAATAATACAAACAAACACGCGCGCAAATCAATTGAATGAGAAAGGATAGATTTATAGCATACATGGAAAGCATAAAAATATTGAAAATCCAAAAATCACAATAAAAAAAGTAGCAACACTTGATCAACATGATCGTAAAAGGATAATATATAACTTTTAATCGGATAGACTCAATAGTTTAAATTTGAAGATAAACTCAAAGAATTATAGAAAAAAGAATATCAAATACAATCTTCTAAGAAAGGAAGGGGGAGGGAGGAGTTTTCAAAAAAATAAGATAAATGTGTGTGTGTGTGTGTGTGTGTGTTTGCGCACGTGTGGGGGAGGGGGAATCAAATCAATAAAACTCTAATCACAAAAGTAGCAACACTTAATCAGTATGATTGCAAAAGGATAATATATAACTTTCAATCGGATAGACTCGATGGTTTAAATTTGAAGATAAACTCTAAGAATTATGGAAAGAGAAAATCAAATAAAATCTTCTAAGAGAGAAAGAGGGAGGGAGGAGTTTTCAAAAAAATAAGATAAATGTGGGGGAAAAAAAGCAAATCAATAAAACTCTAATAATAAAATATTGAGAGTAAAATATTTCATTTATTTTTTAATAATTAGATTTGGAAGAAAAAAAAATCAATTTCAAATTTAAAGATATATAAAAATAAGATAAATGTGGGGGGAAAAAAAGCGAATCAAATAAAACTCTAATAACAGAAGAATTGAGAGTAAAATATTCTATTTATTTTTTAATAATTAGATTTGGAATCTTAAATTATATTTGATCATATCTTCGAAGAATTGAGTGTGGAATATGTCATTTATTTTTAATATTTAGAATTGAAATAATATATTATTTTATCATGTGTTGTCATGACCCAAACCCGCCCTACGGGTTTAGCATCGTTACCTGCCAATAATCCGTGATTACCAAAGACCTGCTTAACAGTAATAACAATTATACAATAGGAGGGGCCGACGGAAGCTTGTAAATAATAAAATATAATGTCCAAAGAGCTGTGAGGACTTAAATGCACAAACAACTTCTATATATATTTACCGATACACACATAAGTCCAAGTCCATATCCAAACATATATGTCAACACTTAGGTCCAAAACACATCTAAGTACAAAATAAAAGACGTATTGGGGAATTAAATCCCAATGCCAAAACAAATTATGAAACATTCACTTGACTTCATATAGCATTCAAAAAGGGTGGATTTAGATCACCCAAAAAGCCTTGACATAACGGTTTGGAACCTCGCGGTGAGGTACAATAGGTTAGCTTGACAAAACGGAATCAAAAGAATTGAATAGATATAAGTACTGAACTGAATAGGATTGATTGAATAACAGAAGGATATGATTGTAATCGAATTGTGCTTGACTTTGCTTGTTTAGGTCGGATGCTGCTTTTTAGACACATAGTCAGGGAGCCCACTGTGAGTAACAACATTGTAAAGTTATGTTCAATTATAATTATTTTCTGAATAATTAACTGTACAGCTTTCTAAAATGATATTGTTTACGGAATGAATGTTTGTCCCATTTTATCGATGCCGCTAACTTTGCTCTGGTGCTTGACCACCGAGTAAGAAGCAAAAGAATTGAATAGATATAAGTACCGGACTGAATAGGATTGATTGAATAACAGAAGGATATGATTGTAATCGAATTGTGCTTGACTTTGCTTGTTTAGGTCGGATGCTGCTTTTTAGACACATAATCAGGGAGCCCACTGTGAGTAACAACATTGTAAAGTTATGTTCAATTATAATTATTTTCTGAATAATTAACTGTACAGCTTTCTAAAATGATATTGTTTACGGAATGAATGTTTGTCCCATTTTATGAACTGTACTCGTGGCATCCATAACAACTGACTGTTACTGTTAATCTTGCCATGCATGTATCAATTTCCATCTATATCAACAAATCTTACAACTAAACTTATGAGTTTCTTAAACACTCTTGAATTTCTTATGTTTTGAGTACATTACTTCAAATTCATAAGGGTAAAGAGAGGAGTTCTTACCTAGAGTAAACAATTTGAGTTGTCTTCAATGTTTTCCCTAACCCTCTCTTCAATTTCTTCTTCTTCTAATCTTAGTTGAACTCTCAAATGCCTACTCCTCCCTTCTCTCTCTACGTGTGTGTGCAAAGGACTCAACCGAACCCACTATCTTCCCTTATACCAATTAAATGGATAAATAGATGAGTAGGATTTTAATTAATTCAACTAAAGCTAATAAATCATTTCTAATTAAATTAAATTAATCCTTATCACAATATAATCTTAATAACATCAAATTTCATTATATTAGTGTGAATTAGGCTCTAATTCCTACCCAATTTCGTAATTCTAACTTGTTAAAGTTAATGAATCAGACAGGTTTAATTTTCACCCTAACCTATCTGTCCACAATAATACAATTCAAATAATCACATGGGCAATTCAATAATACTTCATAACACATAATTAACAATAAGCATATAATCAACATAATTAATTTGCTTAATTAAGGAGGTGGTCGTCACACGTGCATAGCACGGGTGACATGCTAGTAATAGAAGAATTGAGAGTAAAATATTCCATTTATTTTTTAATAATTAGATTTGATCATATCTTCAAAGAATTGAGAGTGGAATATGTCATTTATTTTTTAATATTTAGATTTGAAATATCTTAAATTAGAGTTGGTCATATTTTGAGTTCTATATGCACATCATTTCAAATTTTACTTTTAAAAAAAAAAATATAAAAAAGTGACTTTTTATTAGAAATTAGCAAAAATGAAAAGAAAAACTTCTTAGACTGCCAAGTAGAAGACATTGTCTCAATTTTAAATGAGAGGCCAAGTTTAAAAGTTTGGAAGCTTTAGAAACTACACTACATTTATATATAGATATAGTATAGATTTAAGACTATATTGAGATAGTTCTCACTGTCTTGCTATGATTTTTCATTTTGTTAAGCATGACTTGTCAAATTAAATATGATCTATATGTAACATTACCTTCCTTTTTTCTTTTTTTTTTTGGGTTAAAATTTCATGTTGATTTCATTGTCCTATATATGTGTATAGATATATGTATTATATCAAAAATGTAACCTGGTATGGCCCTCTATGCAATGGTTGAGATGTGACCGAATCACAAATTATATAATTTGATGGAACCTATCTGATAGAACCTGCTACAACTTTCAGGTCATACATAATTAACAATTTATATTTGAGGTTAGAAAAATGAACTTGTTTCTTTTCAAAATTCAAATTGAAAAAATTGACTTATTTAACTTGGATTGAGCAATGCTATAAATGGTTCGTCCCACTACTCAATCCAAGCTTAATTTGCTAGTTGGTTCGTCAGTTGGCAAATAGATAGATTTGGGCAGATCAAAACAGGTTATGCAATAAAATAACTTAAACCAAACTCACTCATTTAATGAACAAGTTTAAACAAGTTAAATTAAGTTTGATACAAATTAAATCAATCAGCCCAACCCCATCCACTTTGTTGAACAATTTTTTCTAAATAAGATTGCTGGAGGGGGTGATCGAGATGATTGTTGTGGATGGTGTGGAGGAGGTGGTGATGGAGTGGCGTCAATAGAGGTGCTGGTCTAGTAGGTACCCAATTAAATGTTCAACTCATTTAAACTCATTTATATACTTGAACGAATTTAGACTGATTTTTAATTGATGTATGGGTTCACAGCTTCAGATTGAATTTGTTATCCAAAAAAAATAAAATAAAAATAATAATAAAAAAATAAAAATAAAAAATAAAAATAAAAACTCTAAGCTATCAATCCCATAGCATGATTAATAGTTCAGTCTCTCTTTTCTATTCTTTTTCTTAATCATCACAAAATGTATATAGGTTGAAATACCAAATTAACTAAAAAAAGAGGCATACATGAAACATCAATAAGTTTTTGAAAAAACTAAAAAAGAGAGAGTTTACACAATGTTGTTCATTACATCAATAAGCAGATTTATACAAAAGGGCTTAATCAAAACTGCAGTGGCATTATTTTTCATTTTCTATGACCCTGGTCTCCCCAGTTCTGTTTTTTCACCCATATTACTACTCTAGGCTTTAAAACCACAGTTACATCATGAATATTTGAATGACTGCAGAACATTGGGATATTGTCTGCAGAAAAATATCGCGCGCCTGCGCGCGCGCGCGCACACACACAGAGATGATCGGAACTTCATTTCTCATGAATAAGAGGGGTCTGTAAACTGGATACCACATGTTGGGTTTGACATATTCCACTGTCACCTCCTGCATCCAAAATGAGAAAAGCCATAGATGATTAACAATAGTGGCAGCTCCAGGAATCAATGATTAAGTTCTACAAATTCTATAAGGAAATTTTTTCACTCTTATCAATATTATATATAACATTTGTTTTCTATAAATTTTAGTGCATTCATACTGATCTTTTTGGAAAAAAAAAAAAATGTAATTACAAAAATTTCTACAGTTCCTCTCAATGAATTTCCTTACTATGGTTGGAGAAATTTCAAGGGTATTTGGTGATTGGTGGAGTTGACTCACTGAATTTGTTTTTGAACTTAGAGAAATCTAGTCATCTTTGGGACTTGAACAAATATAGAGAGGACCTAGAAAAATTTTAAAGGTCTGATACTCTATGCTAAGTGCAATAAGGTCTTCTTTTTTATTTATTTTTTATTTTTTATTTTTATAAGTTAATAGGGTCAATATTATCCATATAATATATATATATATATATAATTTTTTTCAATGATTTTTGAAATTTTAGTGGCGTCAATTGGCTCACACCAATGTATGTGGTGCGACCTATGGGTGCAACAAACAAATGTATTTTATTTTATTTTTTTTATTGGCACTGGAATGTCCGGATCAAAGTTCGATTAATCCCCAGGAGTGCACAAGCGCTCGGCAAGGAGTTTCCCGCAAGTGCACTAAGCCCCAAGGAATTGTTAGCACCTAAGAGATTTCGGTGGTGTTACACACACCAATTGATATACTAATTAGTGTACCAACATAATTATGACATTGCCATTTAAAAATTACGACCCCACCCATTATACAAACTATAACAATCTAAAGCCTCAAATTATGAAATATCATCCGTTAGTATACTAATTAGTATACCAATTGGTGCATATAGCATTATTCAAGAGGTTTCGATTCTTAAATCTTGGACAGAGCACACTCTCAAAATCCAAGGCCTTGCCACCAAGCCAACCCTTTGGGGTTTGCAACAAACAAATGTATTGGTGCAACCAACAAAGTAATCGTTGGTAATAGACAATATAAATATTTAAAATATTTTTTTAAGCAAATTTTCAAATTTGGCAGATGGGGTCAATTAACCCCATACTCTATAGCCTAGCACCGTCCCTGATTAACAATGAGAATAACTGAATAACTAACTTGCTTAGTTGAGTTGAAATTAGTATTTCTGAATTGGTTCATTTAAAGATTAAATATGAGGTTGCTTCATTGTCAAATATTAAAGCTTCTTTTTCTCGTCCAGATGTGCTTGTGCGTTTCATGTCATGGCTATTTTTATAAAAAAGAGATGCATTTTTCTTGTAAGAAAGTTGAGAACTATCCATACTTTTGACATCTGCCTGAGCTCTCTAAGTCCCACATCACAGCGCCCTCTAGCTAGTTCTTCGGCAACTGCTGCTCGAACAACAGCAGCTCTAACCTCTGCTGTTATATCTCAAATACTGCAATTATAAGTAGGTCATAGACAAATTAGTAGAGGTTACTTTACCTTTATTTTACTAATTCATTCATAGGATGTCCCAAAATGGAAAAATATTTTCTTTGCAAATATTACAAGACCTGGTTAGAGATATTTGATGAGTAGATCCAATATAGGGATATATTGATGAGTAGATCCAATCATCCGACCCATGAAATTAGAGGTCGGATTTGTTAATTATGGATACTTTAAATAAAGAGAAAAGAAAACTTGACTGTAGTATTAGCCATACAGTCAAAACAACTTGAAAAGGCTTTGAGGTTCACACACTCCACAAGGTCAGAGTTAGATCCAATATCAGTGGGTATGTAGTCTTTGCATAATGCAAACTAACCTAATTAGTGATTGTTGATTGTGCTTTAACAAACTATATCCAAAACCTATAGACAAGAGAACGACTTGCCGTACTTCTATTAGGTGTGCACACTTAGGCCATGTTTGTTTGGGCGGACTAGAGTAGGTTGGATTAGTATTCCCATGACTAATAATCCTAAGACTACGAATCTCTTTGGATTGTGTATTCTATCCTATGTTTAGATTGAGTTAGGATTATAAGGAGGGACTAATAGTCCAAACTTTGGCTTAATCCTCCAATTTATATCCCACCCCCCTATGTGGGATTGAATACTCCATCATATGTGGGATATCATATCTGAATGGATTGTTAGTCCGTACTTTAATTGTTTAACCAAACATCGGATTAATAATTTTATTGGACTATTAGTCCAATCCCAAGCTCATGTCCACCCAAACAAACATGGCCTTAAGGTAATAGGTTGAACCTTACCCACTAGAAGAAAATACAAGTATATGAGCTAGCTATGAAGCACCGACACGTCAAAATAGGTGCAATAGCTGTGTTAGATATGTACGGGACAGGGACATGGACGTGGTGGGGACACATATGGGATATGCCACATGACATGTCCATTTTTATAATAATTTTTTCAGGAGACACAACAGGTACAACCAAGGTCTTAATTTAATTTTTTAAAGCTAATTTTGGGGGTTATATTATAATGCTTGGAAGCTGGAAACATGAGAGTTGAATTTTAAAATATAGATAAAGAACTCATACCAAACTATTGACAACGCAATACAGATCTAACCACAAGTGCGAAATTGAGAAACTGGCTTCTAATGATCTTTGGAGCCCAACGTAAAAATATATCTAGTCTCTAGATAATTTACATTTAGTTTTTTTGTTTTTTTATATATATATGTTAAATTAGTGTCGTTTCATTCATTTTAGTTGTTTGTGAATGTAATATTTACATACATAGAAAACAAAAATATATAAAACAGTTATATTTTTTGCGTATCCTCGCCGTGTGACCGTGTCTGTGTTCTGATTTTTTTGAAATTGTAATGTCCCGTGTCCTTGTCCGTGTCCGTATCAGTATCAGTATCCATGCTTCCTAGTGAGCTAGTGTCCAATTGATTTCCAAATATGTATGAAAAGGTGATCAGTGTTTCCTAGTGATCGAGTTTCCAACTGACTTACAAATATATATGAAATTTTTAATGTTCCAATGGCGCTATGAACAACAATACCTTCTCGTAGGAGGATACAAAATACCGCTTTGAATTTCTTCGTCTGTAATAGATGAAGCAAGGCTACAGAGAAAAAATTTATTAGCAAAAGTTACCTGATATTGGGTTCAACACCATGCAAACATTTTTCCTCCTCTATCAAAAATTGAACCAATAACTACATAATTTAACCAACAATAAATAAGCAAGTATAAACCAATAATTACAAAATACAAGTTTGGCAGGAGATTGATGCACCTCTAGCGCCAACACTCTTTTTATAGCACTCAAAAGTGTTAGGTCCCTGTGTTGTCAAATCCGGAGACAAAATCTTGTGTTGATTCAAAACTTTGTTTTTCTGTTTTTGTACTGTCCGCTCGAGCGGAGACTCTTGAGCTCGAGCGTAGATTAGCAGGTCACAGTAGTTTGACAGGGCAAGCACAGATACTGGCGGGTGTGATTTTACGCTCGAGCGGAAACTCCTACGCTCGAGCGCATCTCAGCTTATTCATATGCAGTTTTTGGTCAGTCCGCTCGAGCGGGCTGTTGTGAGCTCGAGCGGAGATCGCGGATCCAGTTCTCTATTTAAAGCTGCTAAGGGTGTTTTTGTGAAGCACGTTTTCCTAGATCTGATCAAAACAAACTAGGGTTGTGTTTAAAGTCTTCTTGGGAGATTTTTGATCTTTTTCCTTGATGTTCTTAAGAGAGTTCTGAACTTATGCATTAAAATTCATACATCAAGGAGGTTGCTTCTTAAGTTTCAAGTGAGTTCTCTTCGGTGGATTCCGAAGATCAAAGCGTAGGATCCAAAAGGCGTTTGAGTCTACGCAGTCGTTAATTCGACGAGTGAAGTTGTGGTGTGGAATCAACTTCAGAATCAATTCCGTGACGAAGGTGTGGTGAAAAGAGTTACAGAAGATTCAGAGACAAATTGACTAGGGTTGGGTAATTTGTATGATTTCTTTGTAATCTTTTCGTTCTTCAGTAGTGGATTGATAGTGGCGGTTCGCCCGTGGTTTTTTATTACAATTGAAGGTTCTTCAATTGTGGTTTTTTCCACGTAAAAAATCGTTTTTGTTGATTTATTGTTTATTCTCAAAAACAAACAAACTAAAATCACTCTCGTAAGTGTTTGATGATTTTAGGTTGAGTGTTTTGAATTTATTGGGTTTTGGAATTAGTTAATCTTGATCTAATCACAAATCACGTAGGATTTTCAAAAAGGACTCTTTTAGACCCGACACACCAAACCTATTGATATGGCAACACACATGATGACAGTAACAAGTGCCACCTCATTCCATGAGGGCATAGTTAACAGTCCAATAAGAATGGATGAGCACGGCACTAATCCATAAAAGGCTATGTTAGAACAAGGAACGAAGTGGTCAAATTGTGTAATATATACCATTCAGAAGCTGCTTGCAACATTCCATTTGAAATCAAACGAGCACCTAAGAGAAGAGCTTCCCATTCCAATCCTGAATCAAGTAAAAAAGGTTTACGATGGTAGTCATAAAAAACTAAGCACAATATATCAGTGACGTGAACATTAGCACTAACCCAGGAAATAGATACATGTTATTTTCTTGATTTACATGACCCACTTTTCCATTCCTTGACAACAAGTATATGATTGGCAAAGGTCAGAGTAATTGGACAACACACTGAGGAAGACAGGTATATAGAAACTATAGAACTGTTGGTTGCATTGGCTACATAATGAGAGAGTAGAGTGAGACCAATTAATTTATTGATACTGTGCAAAAAGACTCCACAACAATTAGCACCAATATAAAGAAATCATACCAAGGTCAACATTTTTGAGATAAATTTTCAAAAAAAAATTTCTCGAGAGAGTTTGGAATTTTTTTTGGTTTGTTTGGCTGTATATTTTGAAAATAATTTTAGAGTTTGGGAGTTTAGGATGATTTGATATTTTGTTGTAGTTGAATAGATGTGTGTGAGAGAAAAAGTGATTGAGAATGAGAGAGGAGAGAGAAATGTGATTGACTGATGTGTAGGAGAGAGAGAGTGATTTTGAAAAAAAAATTCAAAAAATTTGAACCAAACGGGGATAGTGCTTTTATGGCTTTTTGGTCCACTTTCACTCAAACTCTTCTAAAGCCAGCGGAGTTAGCTCGTGGTCAAGTTTGGGATGATTTGATATTTTGTTGTAGTTGAATAGATGTGTGTGAGAGAAAAAGTGATTGAGAATGAGAGAGGAGAGAGAAATGTGATTGACTGATGTGTAGGAGAGAGAGAGTGATTTTGAAAAAAAAATTCAAAAAATTTGAACCAAACAAAATTTTTAAAAAATTTCTCAAAAATTGTATCTTGAGATACAAACCAAACAAGCCCTATATTTTCTCCAGCATGATTGAAAGCATCAACAGCAGTGCATTCAGCTGTTCTAGTTAACATGGAAAGACAATGTTCAATAGAGAAATAGTGCATCCACAAATAAAATACAGATAATTTAGAAGGCTTGAAAGACGAACCATTCACCGTCAGATTTGACATCGCAAAAATGGCAGGTTTAGGGGAATATGACTCTCGCATGGCCTTAAGCACCTGATTTATCAAAGAAGACATACGCTTTACCAATCTCAAAAAGAGGATACACTTTGCCATTGTTGTGCTTAGTGCCTTGCAACTAGACACTAAGTGGAGAATGGTTTTTCAAACATAGCCAGCCATAGTTACTTATCAAGTAATAGGTATTTCAGAACGAGATCTACCTATACAGCAATGGTAATTTAATTATAAAAAAAGACAAAATTGTGCATGAAAGGATTAGTAAATTGAGGAAAAAACACCCACAAAAGTAGAGTAAACAAAGTGTCGTTAAACACAAGAAGATAATTAAAAAAGAACGAGGGTTGATACAGTAACAAAGAATGTAATTGCCATGGATTTAACTGAGGTATTGTTCTATAGAGAGCATTTTGGGAAAATATTCATGTAGTCAATTCCAAGAGGTTGAAATTAGGTCTTTGTTGAGTTGAGCCAAGTGGATTTAACTAATAGTGATGACAGCAAATGACATCTTGATGAGGTATGCTCCTTTATCCTAATAATAAATAATTGTAAGTTTTTAGTAAGAATTGGATTATTTAGCGGAAGTTGGGAAAAAGTAAAATGATAATAGGGTTAATGAAGACCATCTTTACAAGGTATTGCCTACATCTAGGAAACAAGAACAAACAAACTTGAGTTCCCACCGCGCGCCGGGGGGGGGGGGTTGTGGTATTTGATGTATTTTCCCCAACTAATACCATTTATCAACAACTAACCAAATAAATAGTACAGAACAACATGCCTTTCCAAATAAAACTAAGCCAACTTCACTGATTCATTGTGCTTCATTTGAAAGTAATGAAGGACAAAGCAAACTTGCCCACCTGCTCATTTAAGACACCACCAACTCCAGACAAACCAAGAAGTATATAAGGCTTGACTTTTTTAACCTAAACAAAATCCATTCCCTGCAATTAGTTTTTCTAAATTATGAAAGCATACACAAGGTTCTGAAAGATAACAGCAAACATCCTTGAGCCAATTGCACGTACCCAAGAAGCAAGCTAAACAACCGAAGGTTTCTTTTCCACACAATATCAATCTATATCAGCCTTGCATCAACATAGGCTGCCAAAAAACACTCCAGTAAGATTTACCACTTTAACGAGATTTGCTCGCTCCCTAAGTCCCAAACCCTCGATCTCCCAAGGGGCTTTAGCAAATAGTGCAGCTGCTGGATCAACACCCTTCCGTTCTGTTGTAATGAGACCCTACATTTAAACCAGTACTTATCAAAAAAAGATGAACCAAAAGTCAAATGGATGATTCCCTGAAAATGTAAATGAAACGATAAAGTTCAGATTGCCATATTATGAGTTTTCCTTCTCATTTCAATGCAGGTTCATTCCCACAATTCATTCAGTTACATGCAGATAAGTAATTGATTATCATTACTTTGAAAAAAAGGTGAAATTCAGTTGATAACACTAAAAAAAAAAATTTTAAATCTCCTTTACGAATATGTTCAAAATATATGTTCTACACATTTTATTACAAGATAAATACCCAGTAACACATAATGAAGGTTAATACGGTAATTGACATTAAGAACAAAAAAGTTAGAGAGCAAGTAATATCTATAGAGCCACACATCTTTATCAAGTAGGAAAGACACAGGATTTGCTCCAGCTCCTGCCATTCTTGAAACAGCCTTGTGCAGCCATGTTAAAAACACCAAGCCCTGCACTGAAAGACAGAAAAAGAATAAGAAGACGCAACTCACAGCTGATATTACCAACCACCCTAAACCATAAAGAAGTAACACTTAAACCAGGAGTACAGCCATTACAATTGAACTTCATCAGAACCTTCCAGCTCCAACTACAACTATCTTTTGGTTCACAAAGTCAGTCAATGGTAGATCTTGTGCCCTTACAGTTCCAAGTAGTCCTGCCAGTGCAACACTAGCAGTTCCCTATACAACATGATGACAAGTGACAAAAATGTCATTATAATAGAGTCACCCTTAACAATCTTAAAGTACTTTGCCATGGAGAATAGCAGAATACAACACCAAGTATTCACCTGTATGTCATTATTGAACATGCAAAACCTTTTTTGATACCATTGCAGTCTTTCAAAAGCCCACTTCATTTGAAAATCCTCAAACTGATAATATTAGCCAAACATCAAGTAATCAGTATGATATTGGTTACACATCAAACAAGATGTCATATTTCTGAAATAACTAAACCTGCACAATAGCCTTGGGCCATCAGGTGTGAATTGCCTCCATAAATTCATCAACAATTGATAGATACTCCTCTCCTTCCAACCAAGGTTGCCGAAGTCCCAAATCTGTCAAAGTAAAATCACGTGAAATATAAATCCTCACGAAGTTTGTCGGAAAAAATGGGTTTACAAGCAGTTATGTAGTCTACTTACTCTGTTTAAAGACTAGAAAATATGGAGAGTGAAATAGAGTACATTTAGCATAAATGAATGTTAGGAATGGATAAGCATGAATGAACTTCAATATTTAAAGTTGTTGGAAGTCCAACCTAAGGTGTAAGTAATGAAATTTAGCAAGGGAAATCCTACTTCATACAAGTAAATAGTCACTATTTTCAAATCTGAGAGGTCCATGATGTCTTTCTCACAAAATGAGAAAAATATGAAAATAATTGACAAGAAACAATTGTAAACAAGAAAAGATTAGACTAGAAACCTTCGTGATGATGGAATTTAAATGGAAATCAATATTACAACACATGGAGGTATAGCCCTTTTATACAACTCCATTTATTTTATTTTATTTTTTGATAAATAATATACAACTCCATTTGAATGATAATACTTTGGTTGTAATAACTAGACACTCTTGGGCTTTATATGTACACTTATGTACAGTCAGATGACCACATGATTGTTTCCATAATTCCATGGTTTCTATTTCTAGTGCATTATCGTTTCTAGTTTGTTTAGGTAAGGTCATCCCAAAAAACAAAGATATATGTGCAGGTACATATCTAATGAGGTGATTCTTATTTACATCTCTAGTTTTGTTAGACTTTTACTTCAAGTTCTGTTGGATCTAAATCTGAATTCACACCATAAAGAGTACAATTAAATAATTAAATCTTAGGAGTTTTATCCATGTTAAAGTTGATTCTAAGTATTAATTATGATTATCTTTCGAAAGCACCTCTGGAGCTTCAATTAGCACCCTCAACAAAATGAAGTGCTTAATTCTATTAGGATTCAATGTCTTCTAGTTGAATTTAAGTTAAGAGAAATGAAAAATATACGAAGTGCTACATCCACTTCTATATTAGTTTGATTATATAATCTTTTTCAAAAAAAAATTGTATTGTTGCTTTCATTAGCAAGGACTTTAGTAGTTCTGCCAAAACCCATTTCAGAGTCCCTAAACATTCCTACATCATAATTTGTAATATAAAGTCACACTAAGACAGTCAAATATGGCCTAGGACAGGTCGCCTGATGATCAAATTTTAAGTAATTTTCAGGTTCCTAGATCAATCCATATTTTTCTATTGCTTAATAAACAAAAAAGATCCTATGCTATCTTAGTCACTTTGTCTCAAGTACATTTCTCAATTAGGGTAAATTTATTTACATATATTACACAATCAGCGCCAATGAAGCTTTATAGTCTAATTGTCATAGTTCATTTGCATAGTACCCTCAAAAGATGACAACAAATACTTGTCCAGGCTCACAACAACTTCATTTGACAAGAATATTCCACTGAGAAGATTTTTCTAAGTTTCATGGACTTCTCAGAATGATCAGATATGAACATGTATATCTACATCAGCAAAACACTTCTATTGTATAAGGTAGATAATATTATATGTACAAGGGAACAAGCATGTTGCTTAAAACGTGTATATGACACCAAAATAATCACGGATATTGAGAAAGCGGACAACCAATTGAAGGAGATGCATGAAACTTTAATTAGCACAAAGCAACTTCACCTCTCCTCTCTGCATGTGTGAAGAGAAAGAGAGAGATAGAGGCATCCAATATTGCAGAATTCAAGGCCTATTACAGTCTGTAAAAGAGATAATAATCAATTATGTTAAAGAGCAAGAGATTTGATTGAATATATTCAGTCCCAAAAATGCAGCCTTTAAACTTCTATGAAGTATGAAATAATTGAAACAATAAAAAATTAAATAAAGAAAAGGAACCACTGAACATAAAATAAACAGCACAAAGTCAATAGAAAGATGGTCTTCAAGAAGCTTTTGATTGTTGGTACCAACATCAAGCATAACTGGAAGTATCTGACATAGATGAACACAGCTAGATTGGTAAAGAAGAAAGCAGAATAAAAGGGTAAAAAGTTAGTCCAAAACTGGATATATAATATAAGATGATAAATATCATAGTTACTAGTATCTTTGAGATCAGGTGGACGAGAAATTACTGTCAGTTCTCCACGCATCTAACCTTCTATCACATACATATGCACTTTCACCAATATAATATCCACATTGATGAAAAATAGCCAATAGAAATATGTTTTGCAAAGCATGAAAATATAACAACATAACCAACATATAAGCAAGCATAGGTAACCTTCAATACGCATGATACATGCAATAACAATGTGCTATCATCCATATCAAGCATGGTAAGCATCTGTGAGTCAGCCCAGTACTAAATGTGTGTATTTACTTGTCAGTGTGCACAGGTGTTTATGCATTGACACACACTTGTATAACAAATTTATTTTAGTGTACACCTGTTTGTGCTATGCCTACATGAACCTGTACATAATAAAGAGAGATGAGTAGAGCATACTCTCTGTGGATTGATTCCAGCAGCAGCGACATACATATCAAGTTTTCCAATGGGTATTCCAGTTCCCTGGACCCCAAGATCACCCAGACCAAGAATGCGACTACCATCAGTCAGGACAATCATATCAACCTGCAATACAGAAGAAGCCATATACCCATGATATGTCAAGTGCAATGATGAACATAACCTTTAAGCTGCAAGGAGTGCTGAACCAATTTTCATTTCTAAGGGAGCAAATGTGCTCATTTTGTAATTTATATATTCATTATTCACAGCAAACAAAAATGCTACATTAAACACATTTTTTTACCTTGCTTTGTTTACCATCTGATCTGGTACAAGTACAAAGCACTCTTAATGTATCACCAAGAAGTAGGTAAAAGCAATAAAGAGAACAAAACTGTACATTAATGCATTTTAGATTTCCAAAATACCAGATGACCAGGCGGACATCTTCTCTCCTTTATCTTTTGCACTGAAGTACATTCCCCGTGGGCGTCTAAACAACCCTGAATAGTTTTGGCAAACCAATCCTACTGTAGGAGTATATATTATTGGAGCAAAATCTTCAATGTTATCAATAAGGACATGGAGAGAAAAGCAACAGCGATGTGTCATTGCTTCAAATTATTTCTCTCTAGCTGAAGAGAAATTATAATCAATTCTTAAATCACTTGTTGTTTACAAGCTGATAATTGCCACCAAACTTACTCGGTACTATAAAATCTCATTCCTATCATGCAGTCAATTCAAGATCCTCTATTTATTTTTATGAGAGCTCTACCTAAGAGGTGTCCTAACTCTAATAAATTAATAATAAACTTAAACTACAAACACAAATTGCATGGTCACAGACAGCTTTATTTTCATCTGTGTATTTTTCTTTACTTCAGTAATCAATCCAACAATGGTGTGTTCTCGGCACACTTGGATTCAATGGTAAGAGTGACTACCTGATATAAATTAGAAAGAGCACACCTAAGAAAAGTCTAAAACCATACAGCATGCCAAGTTTGAAAACAATCTACTCCTCACCAACCAAGATTAAGCAGCTAGAACTATGCTTAAAATTTTGGACAGTCAGATATATTACTTGATTTGGCTTATCTACACCTTCACTAAAGATTCAAGGTGTACATGTCAAGTGCTATGACTCAGACATCATGCACCAAACATCAACATAATGTATACTCTTCTTCCCACAAAATTACGACCTTAAATTTCATTTCCAGGGTATTTTATTTTTTCATGTTCCATTAGTTAACAATTCATTGTTTACTAAAACCATAGAAAAGAAACCAATTAATATAGATAGAAATAATACTGCATTTACATTTTAAAGATCTATTGCAAGACTCCAGTTGAGATGGAAAAATCTCTTTGCTAGAACTAAAGGAATACAAGACCTTTTCTTGGCACATTAGTTTTTTCAAGACTTCTCTGCTGCGTTGTTCACCTCTATTTTTTCAAATTAATGGTGATCCTTCCTCCATTTAGTAATATATAGATTAATCAATAGTCATTAATAAAAACATTAATTCAACTTATTTATTTTGGAAGAGAGGAATTATAAGCGTTAAATGGTGTGTTTCAAGTTCTACACCTAATAATACATTATGAGATCCCAAGGAGACAATGTAAATTCCATCATTGCAGCTACATCAAATATTCTTGGTCCATCGCAAAAAAAGCCCATCAAATTAAGCTTAAGAGCTGAAATCTAGCACTTCCTAGAATGTTTGAATGAAGTACAAGATCATTTTTTCCAACCTAAAAGCAAGATAAACTATAAAAGCCAAAACACATGGAGCAAGAAAAGTGACCTGTTTGGACTCGGAAGCTTTTGCAAACAGCATGATGTCCCCATAGGAATGAGATGTTTGTACAGTTATAGTAACCAATCAAGACTAAGCAACAATCCAAGACCAAACTAGAGATACGTTGTCCTGCAAACCAAACAAGTCAAGTGTTAGTTCAACTTGTTGTAACAGAGTGAGTTAGGTAAATATTTTCGTTAGATATTTTGTAAACATGTGGAGTGTATATAACGTATTGTATCTCCAAGTTGTCAATCTAATGAAAATCATTCAGTTTCAATAACTTCTTCATGTGTAACATTAAGCGAGGTAGCTATAGCATGGCTAGTCTGCATATATCTATCAGGGATGAATTGATAGATTAAAAACTCAATATCCGCAAATAACTTAGAGAGAATGATATATATACTCAAGGCAGCTCAAGTGGCAAATCAAGACAAATCCAAAATGGACTGTGCTGTTAGATAATCATCAAGTTCACAAAAATAGGATTCTTCTTCATATTAGTTCTGTTAAAATTGATGTATATTGATTGATTGATTACAAGATTGATTGATTACAATTCCTATACAATCTATATATAGAAGAAAATGTGGTAGTAGGTGTAGTGGAGGTGATAGTGGGTTAGGTGAAGTGGAGTGTGTGGTGAAGTGGGTGAAGGTAAAGATGGGAAAGGTGATAGTGGGTTAGGTGAAGTGGAGTGTGTGGTGAAGTGGAGGTAGGTGAAGTGGAGTGTGTAGTGGAGTAGGTGAAGGTAAAGATGGGAAATTCTAACAAGTTCTAAGAATCAACCATTGCGGAGCCAAAAACGTCCATTAAACAATTCACCACCAATATCAACCTTCAATTATACATAATGTACACTAATAAACTTGTGTAATACACAAAACTGGATCAAGTAATTTATAGTTACCAAATTACAAATACCATAATGAAAGCAAAAACCACAATAGTTAATTTTTACAAAAATCTAATAAATGACCTCTTGCATCACTAATACTAAAATTCCATAAATGCAAATAAGGTTAAACAATTGATTCCATAAATCATAAATGTTAATATTTCCCTTCACTAAAATTTTGAACAAATTTAGTTCAGATATATCCTTTGAACATAAGGTTTGTTTAGTTAATTTAGTTGAAGAAAACAACACCCACTGTGTTTGTTGACAATTCCTTTTTAATGCCACAAGTTCTCCTCTCTTTTTTTCCCGTTTTTTAAATATAAGCACAAATCCTCTCCTAAACTGTCACATAATGCGTAATCATCTCCTTGGACATTAGGATAATAGTGATGTATAAGGTAGGTAACACGTGAACATCTACAAAAGAATTCAAAGAAAAAAGAAAATGAAAAAGAATAACTAAAATATTAGAAGGAAAAAAAGGGTAACATGATTATATATTAATCTCTATGCTTTATGAAATTAGTTCATATTTTTTAGTGTGCAAGATTGACCTCATTTAAAATAAAATTTTCAAAAAGTCTGAATAATAATTTCAGATTTACAAATTTCCAGTGGGGTCACTTGACCCAACTTTGTTATACATGGCTCCGCCCCTAAGAATCAAGGCAATACACCAACAGCTACTAAAAGAATACAAAAGGGACAAATTTCCCAGATTAAAGACATACAATAGGAAACTATTCCTCCAATTGTAATAAGTTAACATAGTGCACATAGAAGACACGAGGGCTATTGCATGTGCAGTTACACCAATTTTAATAGGTACCATATGCCATTTGTTTGGAACCAAATAACATGAAAAACGTAGACAACACATGAATGAAAAACTTTTTGACATGGATTTATCTTTAATATATATGAGGAACAAAATTTTTGTTTGTTTCCATTGAAATGGCCGAAATGTTGCCATTTCCCAAGACACCGGAACGAAACACTAATGGAATAATAAAATTCTAATGTTTTCATTGAAACGCATCAAAACATAGTGAAACACACCGAAACATAGTGTGATATACAGAAAGAGTAAGTTGTATCTATACAAATTTAGAAATTTACATAAACATTTATTACTGTTGCTTAAGTAAATTTTTAGGCCTTGTTGGAAACTTTTGTTTTATAAAATTGAGTTATTTAACAATACTTAATAATTTTTAGTTCATAGTAACATTAGTTTTTTAATTCTTTTACGTGAATGACTATATGAATCTCAATTTGTTTAATTAATCAATTATTAGGCTTTTATACATTTAGATATATTTCAATTTATATTTTCAAACATTTCTATTTTATCTTTATTTCATAAAATATTTCCGAGATGTTTTTGTTTCTGTACTATTTGAAGCAACACACTGAAACGAAATTTTGATCTTTGTATATATATATATATATTATTCTAAATCCAAAGACCAGGAATCATCAATTTGTTGATTCTTTGAGCACACATGTGAAAAAAAAGGGTAGGCTTCCACACACAAATGCAGTAGACATAATATCACACAAATTCAATTACAATATTTATACGGTGTGTTAAACATCCACTGGTTCTGAATTGCTCAGGGAGATTAAGCATATGAAATACAAAACACGCTAACAATACACAAAAAATTAACAAATTGTATGTAATGTCCCCATTAAATACTTTGATGTGTAAGAATACATTAATATTAAAATATTAACTAAAGCTAACAAGGCGGCAAAGATTAATCAAATAATGTCGATTCACCCTCTGAGCAACATGGTTAGCATTTTCCTACTAATTTTCTAGGGGTAAAACAACAGGAAGATACTCGACCTGTACAATTTAATAAATGACTTCATTCAACTTTTTACAACATACTAGTTATCCAGTAACCAAAATTCAAATTATAATATAGTCAAGGACACATCATATAAATGCATGTACATTTAAGCTGATGAATAATCAGTATTGATGATCTGCGAGAGAGAGTTAGTTATCAAAAGAAAAATAGCAAATTGGGGAATCACTATAACAACCTATATATATGAATTGCCACCTCATACAACATACTACCCAAAAATTTTACAAACAAAAATAGTGGGGGAAGCCATGCTCACTACATTTTCACTATATGCAACTATAGATAAATAAAAAATCACGCAACATACCTCCATGAAATTGTGAAACTATGAACATTCTAAACATAAGCTTTCCCAAAGCTATATTTCCCCTAAACAAAATGAAAGGCCATATGATGCAAGTTAGGTAAAGATATTACAAAAGAAAACACCAAAACGGTTTCAACTCAAGAAAATTCTTACCAGAATTGGTCAAAGTGTACATGGGGATAGCGAACAATCACTGGATGGACAGGATATCTAGGGACAAATGCACCAAGTTGGAAAGAAATGAGAACACTTCCATTTGTTGTGGTTGCCTCGGAAATAAAAGCAGACGAGGAAATCTATCAGAAGAAGCTTTTGTTTGTATTCAAATCCTTGAAAGCACATTTCTGTATCAAATAATCCCTCAGAGATTGATAAAACTTAATACTCTAAATTTTTTTCATACAAAAAATGTAACAACTCCAGGTATACAATTAAAATTGCTTTTAGTTTCCATATTTATTAAACAACTCACAAAAATGAAATTTGGACACCAGATATGCGTATATTTGTTTGTAGAGTTTTAAGTTAGCTCTTACAACAGCAAAAAATTTGTTTAATTTTTCTAAGCATTTGCAAACTACTTACATCATAGCATTTCATTCTCTTTCTTTTTTCTTTTTTTTTTTAACATCACCCTCATTTGACCCTCATTTGACCGGCCAAAAATTCTCCCTTCAACAAGAATTTGTACCAGCTTAATCACTTTCAATCAGACTTTTCCCGATCACTATATAGGCAACGACTTAACAAATACAAAAATATTTTATTAATGATTAGCCCAGAAAACCCAAAAACTAAGGTTTGGTTTTCATAATCAATTTTGAAAGATAATTTTTTAAAAATTTGTTTGGCTGTATATTCGAAAAATAGTTTTCAGAAATTTAAAAATCCAAAACTCATTTAGTTTTTAGAATCTAAAATAATTTTTACAACTCTGTTTGGTTTTGGAGTTGTCAAAAATAATTTTTAAGTTTCAATCCGTATTTTATTATTTTTAGTGAACTTTTTAAGTATTTAATCAAGGTTTTTCAAGTTTCTACATTCACTCAATCTAAATACACCTAAAACGTATAAAATTTACGAAAAAATTTGTTTAAAATATCACTAAATATTAATAAATATACAAATTTAATACATTTTTGTATGTATTTTGTATTTATTAAATTTTTTAAAAGATTTTTTAATTTTTAATTTTTTTTAAGTATATGTAGATTAGATGCATCTAAAAAATAAAAACAAATTAGCCGATATATTAAAAAAATACGAATTAAAAATTTTAAAACTTTTTTTGAAAACTCTAAAACCAAACAAAATTTTAAAAATTATTTACTCATTCCATAATTAATGGTCCTCCAAATTTAAATTTAACATATTTTTTTTCATTATTTTCAAAAATATTTTTTATTAATTGAAAACACAAATTCATTTTATTTTAAATTTTTATATGAATTTGCAAATAACTTGCTCATCCAAAAAAATTCGATTAACTTGAAATTATGATGTAATGCATACTTCAGAGATCCCTCATTCAAAAAATAAAAATAAAAATGAAAATCAATAAGCAAAAAGACATTAAAAACTAGCAATGCTGGAAATCTTTACTATCAATTAGATTGTTTGATTAAGTTTTTTAAAATCTGTAAAAGTAAAAAAATAAAAATGAAAAACACTTATCCTTTTTCATATGATTTTTTGTTTTTAAAATCTGAAAATATTTTTTAAATATTTTTATTTATAAAATTAGTCTATGTTTTGATACCTGGCAATTTGAGTGCTTGTAAAACTGCGGTGGGAATCTCCACAACAGAGCTCATCACTCATCAAAAACGTAGACATCAGGTATGTGAGCTAAGTGGGGCCAATACTTGCCTTTCCCCTTTTCACACTTCCTTGTTAGTTTCCGACTTCCACGGATCCACAATCTCTTAAGTGAGGGAGGCAGCCTTTGCACTGGTAAAGATTTGAGCCTAGGGCAAGCAAAGATAGAAAGTTCTTCAAGAGAGGCGAGGTTTTGAAACAACTTTGAAGACAGCTTCTCCAGATTTCGGAAATTCCCGATCCGAAGATTGAGCAGAGAGGTGGGCAGCAACTTCCCATCTATCGGAAAGCTGGACCCCGCTACACCTTCTTCTTCTTCATCCTCTGCCGCAATATACAGTGATCTAAGAGAGGATAAACTTTCCACGGATCCACAATCTCTTAAGTGAGGGAGGCAGCCTTTGCACTGGTAAAGATTTGAGCCTAGGGCAAGCAAAGATAGAAAGTTATTCAAGAGAGGCGAGGTTTTGAAACAACTTAGAAGATAGCTTCTCCAGATTTCGGAAATCCCAGATTGCAAGATAGATCAGAGAGATGGGCAGCAACTTCCCATCTATCGGAAAGCTGGACCCCGCTACACCTTCTTCTTCTTCATCCTCTGCCACAATATACAGTGATCTAAGAGAGGATAAACTGTGCAAACCAATCTTCTTGAAGTTGTTGTTCCATTGTGAAATATTCATACACAGTGATTGAAGAGAAGTGAGGTAGTTGATGCTCTGCAATCCGTGTGGTAGGGCCTTGAGTTTTTTGCATCCCCTGATCTCCAATTGTGCCAGATTTGTTGCGGAGTGGAACCATCCTTCCGGAATGTACTCCAAATTCTTACACCCATACAAGTACAATTAACTGAGATTCCTGAGATTATTATTATTATTAGGAAGGGCATCTGGCAAGTATTTGAGCCTATCACAATTAATGATCCAAACAGACTCAAGAGATGGACAGGTAATTTCCATCGCCTCCTCTACTACTAGCAGTGCCTCCAACTTTTTACAGCTCCAAATCCCAAGCTCTTTGAGTGTGGGTGGTAGCCCCCCACCTCTACACGATATCAAGCTTGTGAGGGATGGACAATCACGAACATCTAACACTTGAAGATTACTGTCATTAATCTGTGTTAAACACCCGAATAAGGATTGCAGAGTCTCACAATCACGTACCTCGAGTGTTTTCAGCGTGCACGGAAAACCTGTCTCCGGAAAAGAGCTGAGACTCGGACACTTATAGACATACAACTCTCCAAGAAAAGTGAAGCTATGTAGCAGCCGTGGCAGTTTCTCCAGCTTTGTACAATTATCTATTGTTAGATGCTCAAGCCTCCTCACTATGCAGGGGAGTCCCTCTTGTTGCTGCTGCTGCTGCTCATGTTGCCCTTTGTTGTCTTCATCCTCATCTTCTTCAAACAATGAAACAAGCTGGGGGCAGCCTTCAATTTCCAAACGTCGGAATGCAGGGAAACTGTGTTGCACTCTCTCCTCATTCTTCCACAGTGTCTTGAGGTCTTCACAGCTTGTGATCTCCAATGCTTCGAGTTCCATCAGCCCATGAGTGACCCATTTCGGCAAGAGCTCGAGTTTCTTAATCATCCCAATCCTCAAGGAAGTTATTGAACTCGAATGCTTAGACTTTGCATTTGCCGATATCACTTCACAATCAACCATACTCCTCATCTCAAGGACCGCTTGAAGGCTTGTTAGAGGAACATCTTTCATAGCTATCGAGGTGAGTGACAGGAGGCTAATGCTGGAACCTTCAACTAAGAATTCCGGGCACTTTGAAATTTGTAGATTAGTCAAACAAGTTAGATCCTTGGGCATCATTCCGCAAAGTTTGGGGCAGTCCCTAATCTCTAGATTATTCAAACAAGGTAGATCAGTAGGCAACATTTTAAGAAGTTTGGGACATTTTATTATGGAGAGAGAATTGACACGAGTGAATGGTTGAACTTCTTTGTGATCTCCAAAAGTATACCAATCCTCCCATTCTGGCATATTCCCAAAGCTTAGAGTCTCCAGTAATGAAAAAGGTTGAACACCACCTTGCCCGTAGAACTCACAACCAACATGCTTTAATGAACTCATACCTGTAATGTAAAGCTTTTTAAGGGAGGGTAGTTGTCCGAGTGGTGGCAAGGATGCACAATTTCCACAATTATCTAAACTTATGTCAGCCATATTGGAGAATAGAGGATCTCCTATCCAAGTCGGAAATCCTGTACCGAGGTAGCCTTTGATATGGAGCTCTTTTAAATTCTTGTGAGGTTGTAGCATGTCAAACACTTCTGTTTCAACTCTTCCATCTCGTGAATCATCTGAGTTAACATTCCATTCCAATGATAACACATCTAACGCATTCTTATCATTCAAATTCGCCTCCCTTGCAACTAATGGAACCACCACGTTCTGTAACCCAGATAGACAAAGCTTCCCCCGAAGATAAATTAAGTTCCCCAACTCTCTTAACTGATGCCCATTGTTTTTAGTAACAACGAAATTGGACAGTGTTTGAAGACTAACCAACTTACCTATTCCCAGTGGCATTTCTTTTAAGGAACGTGCATTTGTAGTATCGAGATGACGTAGGTCAATTAGGCTTCCCAAGTCTGTTGGCAACTTTTTCAGTTTTGCACATTCTCTTAACATCAATGTTTGTAGATTGTAAAGAGAGCCTAATGATTCAGGTAATTCTTCAACGTTGGTGTTGGATAGGTTAAGATACCGCAGATGTTTCAAATCTCCAACTGAATTTGGAACTTCTGTGATGTAATAGCTACTCATATTGAGCACCCTCAAGCGTCTTAGCTTCGGCAATAGATTAAGGGAAACATTGCTTGCCAAATGACATTTCCAAATATATAGTGCATTAAATGGTAAGAAGGTCCGTAAATATATGGCTTTGTCAAAGATCTCAAATTTTTTCATACCCTCATATTGCTCCTGCATATAAGATGAATGTCGAGCTTTCTTTATATTCTTGCACTGCTTCGGATATTTCAATATATCCTCCAATCTAAAACAAGTTTCTCTTGCAACTACTTGAGCCAAATCATTGATGAGGTCATGCATCACAAATTTAGAGCTTTTACCGGTACTTGATGGTTGGAAAAAAGACCTTGACAACAATTCCCGAAAGTACTCACCTCCTACATCTTCCATTTGTTTCTCTCTTTTTTGCAGAATGAAACCCTCTGCCATCCACAACAAGACTATCTCCTCTTCCTCGAATTCATAGTCGTTGGGTATTATTGAGCAGTGTGCAAAACACTGCTTCAAATGTGAAGGGAGATGATGGTAACTTAATCTCAAAGCTGGAAGGATGTCACTTTCTTCGTGTGATAAATCCCATATTTTACTACACAATACATCTACCCATTCCTCATCTCGTTCTTTGCAACGTAAAAGGCCACTAAGTGTCTTAGCAGCCAAAGGCAAACCTTTGCATTTCTCCACAATTTTCTTACCTATTGATACCAAATTTGGATTTGCATCAATACTTCTATTCTCAAAGGCATGTTGTGCAAACAATGACCAACAATCTTCATCTGATAGGATCTCAATGTCATGAAGTTCAACAGTTGCCATCATTCTTGCAACGTCTCTGCTGCGTGTAGTCACCACGACTTTACTCCCTTGAGCTCCATCATTGAAAGGGCTGCTCAGATCATTCCAGTCATTGTATTTTTTGTTCCAGACATCATCTAAAACAATTAAGAACTTCTTTCCGGCCAAAGCCTGCTTTAGTTGAACTTGAGCTTGATCCAAGTTATTAAAACTACATGTCTGGGAAGTGACTGAATCATAAATTGCTTTTGTTATTTTCATAATGTCAAACTCATCTGACACACAAACCCAGGCTTTCAGATCGAAATGCTTCTTCACGGTTTCATCGTTGTATACCATCTGAGCTAGGGTGGTCTTGCCGATCCCACCCATACCCACAATGGGAATTACGTCAACTTTGTTACGACTTGATTCACCCCCACCTACGAGCAACTCAATTATCTTTCTTTGATCCTTTTCTCTTCCATAAACGCGAGGTTCTTTTAATAACGACGTAGACTCTGGTCTTTGCCAAGTCTTAGTAGGTGTGGTGGTTCCAACAATCTTAACCAAATTAAGTTTCGAACATTGTTCAAAACTAGTGCGTAATCTGGTAGTGATCTCCTCAATCTTGGACCTCATTTTGAAATTAAACATAACATGTCCTGGCTTGAAATTAGGGATGGGATTCCATACCTTGCTGGAACTAGCTTGGGGCAGCTTTGCCTTGAGACTCTGTCGCAAAGCTTCGGTGGCGAACTCATCCACGACATCATCCAAATCATATGCCAGATCTTGGAGATCATCGAGCCACAAGTTCACGGCTCGATCTGTCATTTGCTTCTCCTCCGCGTCAATCAAAAGAGCTTCAATTTGAGACAGCATATTGGTCCAATTGGTGAGCTGGGCACCAATACCTTCAAAGGTGGGTAATTTGGAGGAGGCAAAAGAGGTCATCTTCTCAAACAGCAATTTGACGAAGGCAGAGAGAAAGATCTCTGCTATAGGCATTGTTTTTTATTACAGAAGGAAAACAAAAAACCAACGGATCAGAAGCAAAGCAAAGAGGTTGTCAACTTTTTTTCAATGAAAAAAGTTTTAGCAGTTTCAAAAATGGCTATATTTTTGTGGTGAGAAGAAGAAATTATTGAGTGCTGAGCCGAGAAGAAGTCAAAAGTGGAGTCTCCTTTCAATGGCCCCTTGTCCCTCTGCGAAAACAACATATAAATTAAAAATAAAAATAAAATACTCAAAATAAAAGAACCCAAATATTATATTATTGTTAGTAGAAAGAACTCAAACATTATATTATTGAGTGCTGAGAATAAAGTCAAAAATGGCGTCTTCTTTTACGACAATGCTACGTAACTCAAATTTTGTGGCTCAAAAGTGGCTCAAATGGCCAAAACGACGTCGTTTTGAGTACAGAACAACATAAAAATGGCCAAAACGACGTCGTTTTGGCCATTTGAGTCACTTTTGAGCCATAAAATTTAAGGTACGAGACATTTTCCCTTCTTTTATTGGCTCTCGGCCCCTCTGGGAAAACAACATATAAATAAATTAAAAATATAAAAGAACCCAAGTCGGTAGATCCCAATTATTTTTTAATATATTTTAAAATGAATTCATATATCTATCATGATTTTTCTCAGTTGGTAGAGAGTGGCTTTAGACGTTTTTCAATCTTTACCCACTAATATGGGGTTTTGGTTAATACATTTTTAATTTTGTTTGAATTTAAAATGGAAAAATATTATGAGTAAACTAAAAGGACTAAAGTAAAATTTAAAATTAATTGTAAAGACCATCAGTATAATATATTCATTATATTATTGGTCTTTATAATTTGTTTTGAATTTTATTTTGATTTTTCTAATTTTGCACTTAATTTTTTCTGTTTCAATTGTTAACAACATTTGATGGAGGGACCATCTTGTAACAAAATTTAAAATGTAAAGATCAAAATGTTCAAATTAAAATTACGGTAACTGAAATGACACTTCACTTAAATTACAGAGACCAATGATTTAATTTACAATTTAGTTAAAAAAAATTTCTCTCTTTTGTAAGAGATAATTGGACAAGTATTCTAACATGAATAATAAGGGTGGGCATGGTCTGGATTGGACCGGATTAGAGTAAAACCAGGACCAATCCGTTATCTACGGATCCTGAAAAATTAGAATCAATCCAATCCGTTTAAATCGTGGAACCAATCCGAACCAATCCATTTAAATATGGATTGGATCGGTTTAGGACCACATATTTATATAATTAAATAACAAAAATACATATATAACACTTTATTTTATAAAAATATAAATATAGCATCATATTAGTTTCACAATAGTAACATGTGTTTTCATAATAACGATAAACTGTTCTAGAATTTAAACAATCATAAAGAAACTAGTTCCCCCATAAGTATTTAGACCATTACAAATTAACACTAAAAACTAGCAAACAAAAGTAATAAAAGAAGATACTATGCAAGTTTAGGTTTGGATTTAAGTTTTATATGAAATAAGAGAAGATACTATGCAGGAGGGTGTATAATAAAAATATAGACTATTTGTATACGGTCCGGATCGGTTCCAATTCGGAACCAAGGGATTCAATCCGGAACCAATCCGTGAACTACGAATTTTTTAATTTTTCAATCTGGAACCGAATTACGGATTCAAAAAAATCAATCTAAACCTATTGAATTAGACTGGACTGGATCGGATTACGGATTTCAC